ATGGTGACGTCACGTCGGGTCGATACTCACCCACACTCTATTTCCCGGCGTAGTGGTGGGCTATGGGGGCGCAGGCGCGGCCTCGTACGCTCCTGAGAGCTCCTTCCCGCCATATTAGCCAGCATGGGGTAGGCGAGGATGTTCGACAGGGGTGATACGGGCTATTTCTTTTCCCACAAGGTAATCCGTGTACCTGTGTCGCGTGGTCTTACATACCTGTCCTCTTATCTATCCCGCAGTGTCTATAGCCGTGGAAACCGGCTAATTTTGGTCCCGATAAATCGTCAACGTCCTCGAAAGAGTCGTCAAGGTGTACAAGGGTGGACCGGTGTGAATCCCCAGTTGTTGGGATTCTCGTGATTCCTCGACACTTGGTGAGAGTATAATCGTAGGTGTGCTCGCATGGATAAACGCACGAATAGCATCACGGCGAGAACCACGGATCTCGATACCTCGACGGCAAAGGGGAAAGAAGAGAAGCAGAGGGCCTGGACACCGGGTGAAACGAGGAAGAGAAGGGCTGAGAGCAGCTCTTGCACAATCAAGGGTGAGGAACTCCTCACCGCTTCCGACGGCCTTCCCGAGGACACATCTAACAAAAGAGGTTGCAAATCGGCCGCGCAAGTGTGGATGTCTTTATTGTCCTTGTGCGACCGGATGTGCGGCTCTGCCGCGTGGCTCGTCCTCTTCACATGCCTCCACGGGGTGCGTTTTCCTGCTCGCGTGATCTGCTTTGAGTGAAGGGAGAAAAAGAAAGAGAGAGAGAGAGAGAGAGAGAGAGAGAGAGAGAGAGAGAGGAGAGAGAGAAGTTACAATGTGAAACGTGTACCGGCTACTCGCGTGATGAAAACATATATAGTATAATATGTGCACACGAATATGAAACGTTTATCCGTTTGAAACAATTCTTATGGAGATGATAATGGTGGATTTAGATATATAGAATGAATGAAAATTGTAATTAAATAGGAAGCAATGCTGAAAATTGGATTAATTAATTTCTTGTCAATGGAAATCTAATGGAATATTTTCTAATTATTATTACTCGATTTTTAAATATCAATATTACGATATTTTGAATATTGTTAAAAACATTAAAATATTATATTAAAAATATGATTAACAAAATAATCGTTTTTCTTCGAATTTTTCATTCGAAGAATTAAGGGTCATCTTAATATTGGGTAAGACACTTGACCATTTACCCTGATTCCTTATAGTTATATTAACCTCTTTACGATACAGAAGATTGCTTTATGGAAATTGAAGTTTTTCCAAGAACTAGAGGAAAACGTTGCGCTGTTTCTGACTGAATCTAATTGATGCAGATTCTGTAACAAGCGGTTGTTTTCTCAAGCATTGTTTGCGACTCTTAATGAGTTCTATCTGAGTACTTGTGTCCGCAGTTTCTCATTCACTGTACGGAATCTTCGCTCACTCTGATCAGCTTAGGGAAGCTTATTGGTTTTAAGATGCACACAATTGAGGCAATTTACCTTACGTCAATGTAAAGTATCTTTCAAGATATAAGAATAAAATGATAAATTCGTAAACTATTAATTTAAATATCAAAGAATGATCAAAACCAAGAATTGAAGATTTTTGTATTTGTTTCAGTTTAATTTTTTCTTTATTTATCCTTCGATTCTTTCGAAACATACTTGTGAAATTATCTTTAATCAATCATCACTTCAATCTGTGGAATTATAAAAGGAAGGAATTGTAAGAATAATCATATAATAAGATAGTGAAATTATTTTGTCTCTGTCACATCATTATTGCACTCTATTCTTTACTTCATCTAACATGAATTTAAATTATTTATATCTTATAATAAATAAGTTAATCGATATTTTTGTATATCAATTTTTGTATTTATTTTCGATCTCTTGAATTGACCCTACAAAGATATTCCACGAATATATTAACATTTTATATATTTATGACTCATTAAACTTTGAAATTTTAATATTACACGAGAAAAATCACTTTGAATTTCTATTTTCAATAATAACATCCAAAATAGATTTAAATTACTTTGAAGTGTGTTTCAGCTTGAATGAATTTGTTAATCTTAATAAAAAAAAAAACAGTACAGATTATTGATGCAACATTTAAGAAATAATTAAAATCTTAGTATTAATAAGATCTTAATTTTTTATTAAAAATGGAAGAGAAAAGAAAATTGTGATCAATGTTTGTACAAAGCTGATTATTATCTCTCTCATTCGTAGTCATGATAGTACTAGTACTATCTTTGCATTAGTGCCAACAAAGAGATTTCTATTTTTTTGACGGATTCTCTTTGAAACGCGTACATTTCTGATTGTTCGTAATTTCACAGGGAGAACCCATTTGAGAGTACTTGCAATTTTTACGAGCCTCTAATCAGTCCATTGATCGAATCTCACGTGTAACCACTACAAAGAAACTCCCTTCCCGTTTAGCATTCCTGATTTGCTGGAGCTTTTAATCCAATCTCCTGAAGATTTTTCATGTATTATAAGTAAATATTTTGATTTTATATTAATATTATTTTAATTATAAGAATTGATTTATGAATCAGTGCCTTATATAATATATTTTACACATGTTTTATTTTTTTGATTGCTTCTTTATCTATCAATTATTTTCTTTTCTTTTTAGACAATTGTAACATGAAATTAATCAAGTATTTAGAAAAACACATGAATTTTAATTTTTTATAAATTAATAATGATGTTTTTTATTTATTATTAATATATTATTTATATCTTTTTACACTTTATATTTTTGAATTAAAATTTTTTATTTTTTTTTTTTTTTTTTACTAATTGTTAGAAATAAATTAAAAATTGATGTAAAAAAGACAAGAAAATTAGAAAGCAAGAAAAAGTTAGAGAGAGAGCTAATGAGATCAAACTATAGATTGAGTCAATAATTAACTTAATAAAGGACATTACTAAAATTACTAATAATATTAATTTAATACAGGAGGGCCGGGGAGAAGTGACAGACATAAGCGCAAGTCCTGGAAGGCAAGCACCTGCCAACCAGTTGCGCCCCAAGGAACCACCCCCCATGGTCATTCAGGGAGACTTCAGGAAGGTACCAATTTCTATAATCCTTATTCTTTTTAAATATTTATTAAAAGTGTATCTTTTTTTTCTTCTGATTATTTTATATGTCAGAGAACAAGACTAATCTTTCTTTTCTTTCTTTTCTTAAATATAATCAGATTTCAAAATTCTATAGGAAAAACTACACTATACTGTTATTTCCTAGATTATTTCCTAGATATCCTAATGGCAATGATTAAATCTCCAAGGAGCCAATTGATAAATCTAATTATTTCAAAAATGAAAGCAGACAAAAAACAGGAAATGAGAATTAGAGAAAATCAATTTATCTTCTCCATAAAACTATTCCAGCAACGATTCATTTCATTCTAATTAATATTATAAAAAAAAGAAAAAAGTTAAATAATTTTATAATATTTAAAAAAATACTCAAGAATGATTTTAATTCATGATTTAAAATGTTTCTTTTCTTTCAAGAAAAAAATATATTAAAATATTTTATTTAGTTACTGGAATAGTTTTATGCCATTTTTTTCATTAAAATGCCTGTTCATGGCATTCCTGTTGAAGTGGAGGAATATGTCGTTGCAGGTGAGTGGTATCAGCACAGAGATATTCAAGCAGATCGAAACCGTCGAAAACGATCATGACGCCTCGACAGCAGCCGCCCTCGAAGCTGTCGAACGAAGGGGTGAGATGGTTGTCCGGGTCATCGAGCCACGACAGATGGGCAGGCAGGCATCCGAAGCGGCGAAGAAATTCATTGCTATGCAGGTAGGTGTTCACACAATTCTCTTTAATTCTGAATTTTTAATCAGATTTATCTATAAACATTGAATATATTTTTTCATTTTTAAAAAAAAAATAATCTTAATTCGTTAAATAATTATAAAATAATAATGTGATATTTTTTGAAATATTGTTTTTAAAGAATATTTAGATATTTTGATAATATAATTACCTGTATTTCAGGATCCAAAACAACCTATCCATTTTGTTGAAATAATTAAAAGACCAGGACAAACATTGGGATTATACATACGAGAAGGTAATGGTGTCGATAGAAATGATGGTGTTTTTATCTCGAGAATAGCTCTGGAGACCGCAGTCTATAACAGCGGCTGCCTAAAGGTTATTTGGATTCTTAATTATCATTACATTCTTTTAAATAAAATCAATTTAGTATTTACTGTAACTATCTTTATGAAAATTAAGATTATTAATATTTATATTAAAAAATATATTTCTATATTTTTTTCTATTACATATATAAATAATATAAGGATTATTTTTATTTTTTCTTTTTTGAAAAATTTTTAAATATTCTTTTTACTTCTTTCAATTAGGTTGGAGATGAGATTCTAGCAGTAAATCTGGTCGATGTGACGCACATGAGCCTGGACGATGTTGTAATCATTATGTCAATACCCAGAAGACTCGTTTTGGCGACAAGACACGGCCAACACCAGCCAGTTTCGCACAGTCGTCAGACTGAACATAAGGCACCTCCAGTTGTAGTGATCAAGAGAGAGCTAAATGAAGATGAAAGTGATCATGCAACAAGCAATCATGTCAGGTAATGGAATCTTTAGACAGAAATCTGGCAGAATTAATATAATTGTTTGGATATATAATTATTCAAAAAAGAAGATCAATTTTTCTTAATTTAATAGAAAATGAATTTCTAACAATAGAATTTTTTCTTAATGTCTTAATTTGTTTAAGTATTTTTATGTTACTTATTAGCATTTATTTCATAATTGAATTTCTTAAAATAATGCTATTTATTAAGTTTAAAAAAACATTTTAAATTTATTGATTGGATCTTTTTATTTTATCATTTTTAGACTTTTTTATTTAGATTCTATTATGGTTGATTAAAAATGATAAAATAAATCATAAATATGAAGCTCTTTGGAGAAATTTAATAAAAGTTAATAAGAAGAATTAATAGAATTATTTAATTTTGTGATTTAATAATAGGGATGGCAGTCGTAGACGTGGCGATGGTCGTGAGATGCTACCTTCTCGATCAAGGTTAGGTCTGACAGGTCTAGGTTCCAGTCAAGATCTCGGATCCAGTAATGGCGATTTGTATTACAATTCTAGACCGGAAGGGCATTGGTCTTATCAACCACCACCACCTCCTGTAATTACACATCAGCCTAAACCCTCTACAACACAACATTTCCAGCCTTATGAGCGTGGATATCCAAAAACATTGGAGAGTTTGGCTGAAAAAGTAAGCCTTATAATGCTTTATACGTTCTTCAAAAACTTTAACGCAGGTCGAGATTTATAAAAAATATTAAATGACAAAATATTAAAAACTTAATGTAATGATTAAAATCAATAATTAATGCAGAATTAAATATTGGTAAGTTTTGGTAGATCAAGATTAATAAAAAACAAATGTAATATAGAAAAGTTTGAAGAGATTGAAAGAATTCTAATTAAATTTTGTATTTTATATTAATTAAAAATCTTCATCTGCGTTTTCATATAGATCATAGATGTTCTAGACGATGTGGATCGAGCACCCTTTCATATATCTGTTTGCACCAAGTTGACACTTGTTTGCCCTTCTCTGTCTTCAATTGCAATAGCGATTCGAATAAGAAAGTGGTGAATTCGTGGCAATGTCTCGAGACACTCCTGATAATAATCAGTATATTGTGTGCCATCTTAATTTCCAAGTAATTAAAATAGAAAAAAATACAATATTATAAAATATCCAAATATCAAAATGTTTCTCAATCAAATATTTCAATTAACTTGGAGAATAGATGATTCACAGTTTGCTCGTGTTTCGACCACGTGTTTCACATGACTAATCGGTTCTATGAATGAATGCTACATTGATATTAACCAGGATTTCACAAAGGTAAAGAAACCACTAACTCTTTCTTGATATCTAGATTTGTATATGCAGCAATTCCCTGCACCGTGTACCACGTGGACAATAGATAAATATTTATATCTAATATTATATATTAATATTATTATATATACAAATGAAAAATAATTTATTAATTCTAAAAAAGTAATAAATATTTATTAATGTCCAAGTGGAATTGAACATCGCTATTTATGATGTAATTCCACTTTTTGTTGTTTTGTAAGCTTTGCTCTGTATATTTGTTCTTTCTATTTCTTTCTTTAAGTATTGTCTCATCTTGTGGCGACTCGTGATCGTCATACATCCATCACAATGATATATGGATTTCTATGTAATCTATTAAAATGCATAATAATCTATATAAAGAGATCCATCAATCATGATGGAAAAATGATTGATTAGACTTTCCTTTAAATCACAATCGATCTATTTTAAAATTAAATTACGATAAATCTATGATCTAAAGGGATATCAATTAATGATCTGAAAAGGCTTTTGTTAAGAAAGTCCAATCAAGTGGTCGATTGTGAAATGAAAGGAAAAAATTATAAAGAAAGGGAAGAAAATGAATTAATTTGATTGAATTTAGGTACATTCCTTCTACACGGGGCCAGTTATGCCCTCTAATGGTCGTCGGATGTCCACGGGTGCAGGAATGCAATCAGTTGGTAGCAGATTATCTAGTCAAACTCAATCAACGCATTATGGTTATGGTCAGCATACTGGAACTGGAAGAATCATGCCTAGAAGCGGTTCGGATCAACATTTACCTCGGGTTGATTACACGAGCATCACAACTCCAGCTAGACATACTCTTCTTAGATCCAGTTTGAAGTCAGGTTCGCTACTTTACACAAAAATTGTTTCAATTTTTCTTTTTTTTAATTCTTCATTCATTTTGTGTCATTTCTCTCTTGAACAGGAACTTCTGCGTTGAGATACAATACCAGATATGGTACTCAGGGAGATAGCGCGTCAACTACACAAAGACAAGGACAATTTGGTACTCTGACTAGAAGGCATCGACCATCATTGGATTATGCTTCCGATACCGAAGCAACCTGTTCAAGTTCGCCTAAATCGGCTTATTATTACTACAGGCACAATATGAATAATCCGCCACAAAGTAGTGCTGTCTCGCATCTTGCCACCCTCTCAAGGTCACAGATTGGTCAGAGTTCCTCAGGTTAGATTATTGTCGCTTTCATCGAGAAATTCACGTTTCTTGCTTTTGGAAGAAAAAGTTTCAAATCGTGATCATGCTTTCTCTAGGCTTGAGATCGAATTCGTTGCCTCGTAGTGGCAGAACATTGCCTCAGCAACCAGGTCTCAGGTCTGGACTTAGCACAGTAGCATCTGGACTAATAGATCAGGAAGATAGTGATGGTGCACTGTCAGCGCCTGAACTACCTTCCATCAGACGCGATAGAGGTTAGTTCAAATAGCGAGTCAATTCAGATATTTCGAGTATAATGAGAACACTGAGAATTCTATTGATTGCAACGGCAGGAAGAATACCATCATCACCTAGTGTGTTCACATCAGATGAGTACCGGGCATGGTTGAGTCGAACGCCGAGTACCAGTGCATTGTACGAGCAGATCAGAGCCACTACAACCAGACCACCACGTTATACCTATAGTGCAGAAAATATTCATGCAGCTGCAAATCAAGTAAGTAACATATACTAAATTATATTTTTATCAAAGAGATCAATTCTCTATAAATTTTCTTGTTTATTCGTGTTTTTCTTTAGGGTGAATATGGAAGCTATGGAGCATATAGACCACTTTCCAGCACATTAGATCGTTTGTCAACAAGATCAGCCTCTGCACAACAAGTGAATCTTGCCAATTTAAGAGCATCGACGGCAATAAGTTCAACATGTCCTCGTGGAACAGCGAATCAAAGACCGGCCTCGGTTGCATCCAGTGCTCGTACTTCTTTGACGAGTCAGAAACCATCATTGAGTAGCTCCACTACTCAGAGGGCAACGTCAGTCAGGAGAATCAGAAACCTGCTAGACCTAGAGTCCACGCGAAGCATACCTACCCCCACGCCTACCAGAACTCAGGATCAAAGACTGCTAGATATTAATCCTGCAGGTAATTAATGGGAATCGCAAAAATTTATTTCAGTATAATTTAAAAAATCTAATTGCATTATATTATTCTTTTTTTTCTTATAGAGTTCCTTAAATATAAGATAGAAAAACCTCCAACTGTTGGAACTCCGAGCTCTACCAGCTCTCTTTTGAGCTCACTCGGAGAAACTAGCAGCGGCGATTTGGCGGGAGGCGTTAGTGGGCTTCTCTGGGTTCATCTTCTGGCTGGACGTGGTCTTCGTTCGACAACATCTTCCTCGGCAGCTACTACACCTTCCACACCATCAGGTCAGCCTAATTTAGGTACGTTCGGGAGTCTGCACATCCCTTAGATTATTTCTTCACTGCACAACCTTTATATATATATATATTAACAAATTTAACAAATATATATATTAACAAATTTGTTTTTATTTTAAATTTGTAGTAGTTCCTATCACCTATAACTCTCGAATGCTAGAAAATATTCGAAAGTATTATATATTATCATTAAATTTTGAATTATTCTTTTTAAATGTTCTGACATAAAAATTTGAAAAATAGCAAAATATCTATGTTGTTCAAATACCATAATAGCTAGTTGCGGTTTGAGAGACCTTTACTGTGTACTGGAGTGCGATAGAGTACACAAGGCGAGGACAGTGATGCGAACCGGTGATTTGATGTTCGACTGGGACGAAACCTTCGAGCTGGATCTCGTTGGCAACCGTCAATTAGATTTGCTGGTCTATTCATGGGACCCACAGTATAGGCACAAGTTGTGTTACAAAGGATCTGTACATCTGGCAACTCTTTTGAAGGAGTCACCAGTTCATCAGTTAGCTGTCAAAGTCGAACCACGTGGTACAATTTATCTAAGACTGCGATACACTGATGCTCAGCAGACATTCCGAAGAAGAGGACTTCCGGTTATATCTCTTGCCACCAGGGTAGCACCCCTCTTTGGAGTTGATCTTGACACGGTGGTAAATAAAATATTCAAAATATCTGGCTGAAATTAAAAATTAAATTTTCTAAAATTTAATGATCAAGATGTTAAAAAAAAAAAATAATAATTTGGATTAGGTAAGTCGAGAAAGCAAGACTGGTGGAGTTCCTGGAGGTGTTTCTACCGCTTTAGCAATGGGCGTTCCAAATGTGCCCATAATTGTATGGCGTTGTGTCGAAGAAGTTGAAAGAAGAGGTCTTGATATTATTGGTGAGTGTTTTAATTACAAATTTAAATTTCTATTTGAGTTTGAATAATTTTTCAAAATGATTTGTTGAATTAGGTTTATATAGGCTTTGTGGATCAGCTACAAAGAAGAGGATACTTAGAGAAGCTTTTGAAAGGAATGCTCGTTCAGTAAATTTATCGCCTGATAATGTGCCAGATATCAATGTGATTACTGGTAAATTTTTTAATTACTATTTCTAATATTATAATATTATATCGCAAATGAAATTATAATTATTTTAAATTATTATTTAGGTGTACTAAAAGATTACTTGCGAGAACTTCCAGAACCACTCTTCACGAAGTGCCTCTACCAAATGATGGTCGATGCACTGGCCGTCTGTCTACCAGATGATCCACAGGGCAATGCAAAACTCATGTTTAGTATACTTGATTGTTTACCAAAAGTGAACAGGGTTTGTATCTAAGCTCAAACTATTTATAAATTTTGATATATCTTGAGGATACTAACTAATTATTTATTTAACAGTGTACATTAATATATTTGCTCGACCATTTGGCAATGGTGGTATCCCAATGCAATAAAATGTCTCCAGCAAGTTTGGCAGTTTGTTTTGGACCAGTGTTAATGCTACATTCAGAAGAAAACGGACCACCTCTGGATTTCCAACAACCAATAGCAGTTCTCAAATACCTTCTTGAGATTTGGCCTGTTAAGTCAGGTAATGTTGTCATTTCTAATAATTAACTTATAATTAACATTTTTATTTTTTTATGTATATATATATATATATATATATATACATAAAATGATTATTTTATCAGGTTTTTTTAAAATATTGTAATTAAATTTATAAAATATAACGAAAATTTATTTTAAATTATAATAATCGAAATAAAATTTAGCCTGATAAAATAACTGAACCACAAAAATAAGAGCCGAATAATCAGTCGCTTATTTCACAGACAGTTCGGAAGATTTCTTCAGTCGCTTCAGCGCTTCCTCGAGTTACGCCAGTAGTCGAGCACAACAACAGTCAGCAGCAACTGCAGCAGCAGCAGCAGCAGCAG